CCACTGCCAGGAATGAGTTCCGTTCGTCGTCTACGCCGACCTGGAATGCGTCCTGCGGAAGACGGAGCCCGACAAAGAAGATACGTCATCGTACACATACCAACAGCATGAGGTATGTAGTGTGGGCTACTACGTGCGTTGCTCGTACGACGACGCGTTGTCGAAATATCGTTTTCGTCGCGGTAACGATTGCGTCGCATGGTTCACCGAGGAACACAGAAGTTTAGCGCATCGCGTCAAAGATACTGTATCCGCCAACGTGCCCATGGAGGCATTATCGAAGCAGCAATGGGAGACATATCGTAGCGCGACACGTTGTCACATTTGTTTGAAACCGTTCACACCGGACGATACACGGTCATTGCCATTTAACCGGTCGTTACAGGGGTCCCGCGCATTCAAATTGCAATTTAAATTATAAAACTTCGCTGTATATTTCGGTTGTATTTCATAATTTATCGGGGTACGACGGGCACTTTATAATTAAAGAAATAGCTATCGCGTACGACGGACAAGTAGATGTATTACCGATTACGAAAGAAAAATATATTTCGTTCACGAAACACGTCGATAGCATCAAAGACAAAGATGAAAATCATTTTCAGAAAAATTGTATAAAATTAAGATTCATTGATTCTTTCAAATTTCTAAGTGCCAGCCTCGATAAGTTGGCGTCGTATCTCGATAAAGACAAATTAAAAATTACAAGGTCAGAATTTTTTAATCTTAGCGTGGAAGATTTCGATCTACTCACGCGTAAAGGTGTATTTCCATATGAATACATTGACTGTATCGAAAAGTTACAAGAAACCGAGTTACCACCGCGCGAATCATTTTACAGTTCGTTAACGGGTGATACAGTATCCGAGGGCGATTACGCTCACGTCGTGAACGTATGGCAGCGATTTTCCATCCGAACGCTCGGCGAGTACAGCGATCTGTACTTGAAAACGGATGTATTGTAATTAGCCGACATTTTCGAAAATTTCCGCGAAAATTGTGTCGCGAGTTACGGTCTCGATCCCGCGCATTATTATACATTACCAGGTTTCACGTGGGACGCTATGCTAAAACGCTATGCTAAAACGCGCATAAGATTTGAATTGCTCGCCGACATTGATATGGTCATGTTCATCGAGCGCGGTATACGCGGTGGCCTCAGTTAATGTTCCGGCAGATACGCGCAGGCTAATAACAAGTATATGTGTTCGTACGACTCATCGAAACCGTCGTCGTACTTGATGTACTATGACGTGAATAATTTGTATGGATGGGCGATGTGTCAACTATTGCCATACGCCGAATTTCGATGGGTCAAAGACGTTGCGAACTTCGACGTGAGCGCGTTCGCTCCGGATTCACCCACCGGTTACATTCTCGAGGTTGACTTAGAATATTCGGAGCGTCTGCACGACGAGCACGTTGACCTACCTTTCTATCCGACGCGTGATAAACCGCCCGGCAAGCGCGAGGATAAACTTTTAGCGACTGTGTATGATAAAAAACGTTACGTTATACATTATCGCAATTTACAGCAATGTACTCGTCATGGTCTTCGCGTAACAAAGATCCATCGGGTGTTACAATTCGCTCAATCTCCATGGCTCCGCGATTATATTGAACTTAATACAAATTTCAGAACTCACGCGAAAAAGGATTTCGAAAGAAAATTTATACAAATTAATGAACAACGCAGTATTCGGCAAGACCATGGAGAATGTGCGCAATCACATCGACGTAAAATTATTAACAAAATGGGACGGACTGTACGGCGCGGAGGCAATGATCGCAAAACCGAATTTCCACAGCTGTAGCGTCTTTGCGGAAAATTTAATCGCCGTCGAACTGCGTAAACTCGAGGTGAAGTTCAACAAGCCGATTTACGTGGGTATGTGTATACTCGATATATCGAAAGTCTGCTTGTACGAATTTCACTACGACTACATGTTACCACTACAGATACCGATCAAATCAGTTTTTTTTGCCGGACGTCACTGGCGCCGGGTATTTTTCTGTTCGCCTACATCACCCCCATATTAACTTTACATTATAGCCCATACTTTTCAGAACATTATAAGAATAGTACTTACCGTTCATCTATTGATCTATCGGCGACGAGTGCCACGAGCCGCTCGCTTATATAATACTAGATTTAAGAATGCCCCCTTTGTTTATTTATGGGGCGTAATTATAAAAATTGTACTTAACTCCATATTAAATAAACATATACGTACATACATACATACATGTTACCACTGTTTCACGATAAATGCAAAATCATGTACTCCGACACAGACAGTCTTATATACCGCGTCGAGTGCGAGAACATTTACGAGACTATTAAACGCGATATCGCTAGATTCGACACGAGCGATTATCCGGCGGACATCGCATACGGTATGTCTCTCGCGAATAAAAAAGTACCAGGTCTTATGAAGGACGAGAACAACGGTATGATAATGACTGAATTCGTTGGGCTCAGAGCGAAGATGTACGCGTTGAAGGTGGACGGTAAAAAGGACACAAAAAAGGCGAAAAGTGTAAAGAATAACGTCGTAACGCGAATGATAACGTTTGACGATTACACCCGATGTTTAAACGAAGAGATCGAAATGACTCGTCGTCAGTCGTGTATACGATCAAAATTACACGAGGTATACACGATATCCGAGACGAAAATCGCTCTGAGTTCATACGACGACAAACGATACATCGTACCGAACACGACGGAGACGTTACCATGGGGACATTGGAGGATACCCTTGTAATATATGCATTTATGTTGTATTATATTGACATTTACCATGTTGTATACTATTATGTACTATTGTTATAATTTTACACGTCATGTATGTTTTTACGTTTATATACGTATTACTATTGTGTTTTATGTAGCACCATTTATTATGCATTATTATTTTCAATTCATGTATTAATCATTTTCTTATGTACTATATTAGTTTTACGTTTATATAAGTATTACTATTATGTTTTATGTAGTACCATTTATTATGCATTATTATTTTCAATTCATGTATTAACCATTTTCTTATGTACTATTGGTAGGATTTAAGATGGGTTCCCGTAATATTGATTTTCTGCCTTGTAAAGTACTGATAAAACCTTTATTCTCATTATCACGTTGCTGACAATACGCTTCGGGTTTTGTGTCTAATCAGATTCACACTCGCCCCTCTCGCACACACACTTCTCTTGTCCTACCGTACCTTTGCGACATCTATGTCATCGCTCGACCGAATCTGGTTAAATTCACACAGCGCGAAATTCATACATTCCGGCCACCTTGAAGTATTACTTCAATATTTCGTAATAACTAATAGTATAGTGAATATTACTTAAGAACAGAAAGAATTTAAATCGTTGACATAAACAAATTACAATGTACTGAACATCATAGTCTGAAAGTTAGTTTGAATTAACAAATTACGCAAAGCGATTACACAACAGAAAAGGACAAAAGGAAAAAATACAATATTTCATGTAATGGGTAAAATACATATCTTTGGAAGTGATCTTTGAATAACTCCTTTAGCGGTCTTCAGCGACACCACTCTTATCAATCCGTCAGGACTAGGATGTAATGCACAAATCCTACCCGTGTGCCAGTTTAAAGGAGGCAGAGTTTCGTCACGAATTAATGCTAATCTTCCAACTTGTATTTCATCGTTGCGCATGACGATTTGCCATTTCGAACGTTGTTGCAGTTGAGCAACGTATTCCGACGACCAACGTTTCCAAAATGATTGCTGTAATTGTGATAACAATTGGTAGCGTCCAATGCGATTCGTAGGCTCATCAATGACAGATTGTTCGGGTATCGTGAGTAGAGATGTCCCTATCAGGAAGTGACCTGGCGTCAGAACCTCCAATTCCTCTGGATCGTTGCTCAGCGGACACAACGGACGCGAATTTAATATGGCCTCTATTTGAATGAGGACAGTGGACAATTCTTCGAATGACAGCAGTGTATCACGAATTACAGTTTTGAGATGCGCCTTTACATTTTTTATGTTGGCTTCCCACAAACCTCCCATGTGTGGGGAGTGCGGCGGAATAAATTTCCATGAAATTCCCTGATTGAATGCGACATTGATAATTTTCGTTTGAGTTTCGCTCTGATACAAAAATTCACCGAGTTGACGCAATACATTGCTAGCACCGAGAAAATTCTTACCGTTGTCTGACCAAATTGAATCACATTTTCCTCTGCGAGATATAAATCGTTTTAATGCATTTAAGAACATCTCACTGGTCAGATCCGATACTAATTCTAAATGTATAGCTTTCGTGGCCAGGCACACGAATAAACACAAGTATGCCTTGCCCGATTTGTTTCTGGAAATCTTAATGTTAAATGGTCCCGCATAATCTACCCCAGTGTGTTTGAAAGCTCGCGATGGAGTAATTCTGCAAGCGGGTAAATCTCCCATTTTTTGTACCGGACTGTGAAGACGTATTCTAAAACACAGAACACACTTGCCCAATACCCGTTTGATTGCGTGTTTCCCGCGTATTATCCAGTATCTTTCACGAAGGGTACTTAAAAGCAGCTGTGGACCCATGTGAAAGTGATTTAAGTGTTGATCTCGAATGATTAAATCTGTCAGTGTACCGTGAGGAGATAAGAGGATAGGATGTTTTTGGTTATATGTTAACGGAGCATTTCTCAACCGGCCACCAACACGGAGTAAACCGTCTTGGTCAAGCACTGGGCTAAGTGATAAGAGTCTGCTATGAGAATCTATTTCCTTACCTCGTTGTAGTGCATGAATCTCGTCATTGAATTCTTGCATTTGATGTATTTTCAATAGAATTACCATAGCTCTTTGGAGTTCTTCAGAGGTGAGTGGCCCATAGATTAATGACGATTTCATCTTTGACAATAGACAATTTGTTCTGAATCGGCAACAAAGTGCAATCACTCTCTTCAATTTGATTAATGAAGAAAATCGATCGATTGGTTCGAATGACTTGACGTTGATTGCCGTCAATGTCTGAGTACGCGTTTCTGGTACTTCTGTTGACAATTGCACCATACCCCGTGGCCACTGATGTGAGGTTTCCTTTAGCCAAGGTGGTCCCTCCCACCACAGTGTGGCTTTGATTAATTGTTCCGGTAAAAGTCCTCTAGAAATGAAGTCAGCTGGATTATTCTCCGAAGACACGTGTGCCCAATCTTGCGGATTTGTTAATTTCTGAATTTCTGCAACTCTATTTCCAACAAACGTTTGCCACCTTGATGGTTCACCTTGGATCCAGGTCAACACTATTTCCGAGACCGTCCAGAGATAATGTTGTGAAATTCTGCATGTGAGAGCTTGGGTCACCTTCTGCACCAAATTGGCAAGAAGCACGGCGCCGCACAGTTCAAGTCTCGGTAGACTGATGGTTTTTAGGGGAGCGACTCGTGACTTTACAGTGAGCAATCGTATGCTGATTGTTCCCTCATCATTAACAGATCGGATGTAAATACAAGCTCCGTATGTCACTTGGGACGCATCAGAGAATCCATGAAGTTGAATATCAGTTGGTTTGTGTACTATCGCATGACGTGGTATTTCTAAGTACCGAATGGCTGGCAATTGTTGACAATAGGATGTCCACACGATTCTGATTGTCTCTGGTACCGGAGTATCCCAGTCCAGTTTTTGTTGCCAGAGCACTTGCAAAATAATCTTCGCCTTGATAATCACAGGTCCGATCAATCCTAAGGGATCGAAAATTTGAGTAATCATTGACAATATAGTCCGCTTGTAATATTTTCCGGCTTGAATTTAATCTTCGTTTCATATCTCAAGAAGTCAGTAGTAGCCTGCCACAACAGTCCCAGCACCTTTATGTCTGTAAGGTCGTAGCGATCCGAATACTGATTTTGATCAAGAGCAATGTTTGATCGGAATTTTGCCAACTCGAATCCTGCTGATTTCAGTATGTTCGTAACCTGTGACTTGATCTCCAACGGTCCTTGTATTGATGACTCTCCAGTGATCATGTCGTCGACATAGAAATCACGACTGATAATCGCAGAGGCGCGAGGATGACTTGCCTCGAATTCAAAAGCCAATTGTTGCACTGAACGTATAGCTAAGAACGGTGCTGAAGCAGTTCAGTACGTAACCGTGTTTAAGCTGAATGTCGTTACGGGCTCTTCAGGACGTGCTCTCCAAAGAATGCATTGGTATCGTCGATGCTCTGGCTGAATCATGATCTGCCGGTACATCTTAACGATATCGCCTATTAATACGTAAGGATGCTGTCGAAACCGCAACAATATTTCAAACAACTCCGTTTGAATGGTAGGTCCTATCATTAGGCAGTCGTTTAAGGATTTCCCGGTGGTAGTAGGACTAGAAGCGTCGAAAACTACTCGGAGTTTCGTCGACACTGATTCCTCCTTGAGTACTGAGTGATGCGGTAGATAATTTACTTCCGTGCTTTCTGCGTCCGGCAGCGCTGACATGTGACCGAGTTTGATATATTCGTCCATAAAGTTGACGTATTTTTCTTGTAGTTGAGGATCCCTTTTAAATTTACGTTCCAAGTGTTGCAGTCGCTTGAGTGCACCGACCTTTGACTCTCCCAGAACGCATGGGTCTTCACGGAACGGTAATGCTACTTCGAACCTGCCGTCAGCCGTTCGTTTATGTTCCGTTTGAAACAATTCCTCGCATTTGAACTCTTCTTTGAAGATCTTCGTTTCTGGCATGTCTTCTATATGCCAGAATTTTTCCACTTGCGTGTGAAGTTCGTCGTTACGAACAAGTCCACAGATTACCAACTTGTTGTGAGATTGCGAACCGTTTGGTGATCCAACTTGTCCGCATAATATCCATCCCAGCTTTGTCGACTGTAACATGGGTTGTCTAGCTCTCAACTGAATCCTTTCGGTTTCGAGGATGTCCCAGAAGATCGTTGCTCCCAATAGCAAGTCAACAGCTTGTGGTTTGTAGAATGTTGGATCTGCTAAGTCAATGCATTGAGGAAGACTCAAGGATTTTGTACTTATAGGTTTGGTTGGAATGGACCGCGTGATTTGATTGACGACGAGAAGGTTAACGTCTGTTTCGTATGTTGTCGTCATGGATGCTATATTAGTCTGAGTCGTTTCGACGATTGGTGTTTCAAAAACATTAAGACATGAAATGGTATGTTTAATTGTATTAACGTTAAGTTTCAACCGTTTACACAGAGATTTAGTTACAAAATTTGATTGCGATCCGTTATCCAATAAAGCGAGTGCCTTGTGCCATTTGCCTTCACTATCCCGGATGTGAACTATTGCTGTCGACAAAAGAACCTCCGAGCTAATTTGGCTAGGCCCACTCGATGTCATGGCCACGGAAGCTGCGACCGTTTTTTCGCACGCTTGCTTATTCGTCTCGCTTGACTTATCCGCACTATCGTTTGACATATTTGATTCTTTGACAGACATACTGACTCGCTCATCCGTGTGAAGCAGTGTGTGATGTCTCTTTGGGCAGTGCGTGCACACGCGAGAGGTGCTGCATTTTTGTACTACGTGATTCGATGCTAAACAGTTGTAACACAGATTTAATCTTTTGACTTCGTTACGCCGCGAATCTAAGGAGAACTCTTTAAAGATTTTGCATGCATGTATTCGATGCGCCTGCTTACAAAGAGCACACTCGACTGCTTCACTTGTCGCAATGTGCGCCAAACTTGTACCTTGACTCTTGTTCGCTTTAACCTGATTTGACTTTTGAGTCGAAACCTTTCCTTGCACTGGATGATGCATTTCAAGAAACTGGCATCGCGTATCAAGAAAGTCCATTAATTGCTTAATCGTTGATAACCTCTCCTCAGTCACTTTCAGCTCCCATTCCTTCTTCGTAGTAGAATCCAATTTGCTCGTAATCAGATAAATTATGAGCGTATTCCATTTGTCAACGGGTTCCTATAATTGCTGTAACACTCGTAAATATTTCTGAATATTATCTGATAACGCTCGTAACATATCTGCCGACTCTTTCGGAATTGGAGAGATATTGAACAATTCCTGAACATGGTAATGTATAGTTAACCGTAAATTTTGAAATCGCTTAGTTAATAATTCAAGTGCAATAGGATAATTTTCATTCGTTGTTTGCAATGAGTGTATTACTTGAGCGGCAGAGCCTGACAGTGCGGATTTCAGATAATGAAACTTTTGAATTGAATCTAGTTGTCTATGATTATGGACTAATGCTATGAACATGTCGTAAAACTGTTGCCATTGCTCATAATTTCCGCTGAACGTCGGCAACGAAATCACGGGCAATCGCACTGGTGTTTGATTTGCGTTCGCGAATAGTGTATCTACTTGAGCATTTGTCGAGTTATTAACATTTATTGAATTATTAGCACTCCGCGCGAGTTTCGATCGAGCTGCGGCTTGTACTATAAAAAACGATTCCTCGAACTTTTTCCGTTCCGTGACATCGGCTTCGGGAAGAAGTTCATCGATTTTCGACTGTATCACATGATACTCGCTCCACAATTCATTATACTTCTCTAGTTTCGCTTCTAGCATTAACCTGTTCTCGACGCTGTCTGCATAATTATCGAGAAATGTCTTAAATCTAGTCGCGCGTGCTTTGAGCGTCGTTTGCTCCCGTTTCAAATTTTCTACGTTTGACATTGTACCGCGGAATTCTAACCTTCAGTGCAATACAAACTTCTCGGTTGCGGCTTGTGATGTGCAGATCACGTTTGTATGGCGTCGTGGGCCTGTTGATGGCGATGGATGGCAATGGATGGCGCCTCTCGTCGCAGGATGCAGTATAGCCGTTGTCGTAGCAGACAGATTGATTGTCAGTATCGTAGGAGACGATGTGGCCGTCGGCGTCGTAGGAGACAATGTGGCCGTCGTCGTCGTAGAAGACAATATGGCCGTCGTCGTTATAGACGACAATATGGCCGTTGATGCCGTAGGAGACAATATGGCCGTTGTCGTTGTAGAAGACAATATGGCCGTACGTGATGAATGAAAGAAACTGGCGATTCTTTTTACCCAAGTCGCTCCTCGATCTCACCTGTGAGACGTTAACCACATCGACGGATGTGGGTAAAGCTAGACCGTGCGCCGTCTCGAACCGTGATGACGAAGCAACGTGATGAGCCCCGCGATGTCCGATGCTTGCTTTCTCGAACGTCTTATTCACTGTGGCGACTGCTAGCTCGTGCGGCTAACAATTATCCGGGTTCGAAGGACCAATTTGGTGGGATTTAAGATAGGTTCCCGTAATATTGATTTTCTGCCTTGTAAAGTACTGATAAAACCTTTATTCTCACTATCACGTTGCTGACAATACGCTTCGGGTTTTGTGTCTAATCAGATTCACACTCGCCCCTCTCGCACACACACACTTCTCTCGTCCTACCGTACCTTTGCGACATCTATGTCATCGTTCGACCGAATCTGGTTAAATTCACACAGCGCGAAATTCATACAACTATCTTAGTTTTACGTTTATATAAGTATTACTATTATGTTTTATGTAGTACTATTTATTATGCATTATTATTTTCAATTCATGTATTAACCATTTTCTTATGTACAATCTTAGTTTTACGTTTATATAAGTATTACTATTATGTTTTATGTTGCGCCATTTATTATGTATTACTATTTTTCATTTCATGTATCATATATTTATATACGTATTTGATATTTGTATACTCCAAAACGAAGATGGAAGGGATAATAAAAAATATTTTACACGTTTATATCCTTATGTAGATATATATTTTTATATGTAGAATAAAAAATACATGACTCAAAATTGTATCAAATCACATTGTTTTTATGTATCCATGAATTGTGCGATCCATCGAATCCCAGCCACTTGACGTACACCTTGTCTCCCTTCCTGCGCAGTACTTTTTCCACGAAATACACATCCGGATGAGTAGCGCGATGCAACTCGTGCTCGTAGAACGCTCCAGCGACGGATTTTCCGCGATAGTCCTCGAGTAAGTAGGTTACGGGATTAGTATGTTGTACCTTAACGTACAACCTCGTAAACACCTCGATGGTCCAATTTGGCGTGTAACCCTTCTCAAAAACCGTCTTGTACTTGCTCACGCGTACCGAATC